TCACCTAGCAGTGGGAATTTCTGGGATGAAGTGGTGATGCTAAATAAACACCAACAATGTCTCCAAATGGTAAAAGATTTGCCAAAGGCTTCTGTCAAAAGTGTTGAACTGGTGAGGAGCAAAACGAAATTTTCTGCTGCCTTAAATATTTTAAGCGTTTCACGTGCCAGTAAATGAGCTAGAAAAACCATGGCAAATTCTTTTCACTAGAAACATCTATCAAGCGCTTCATCAAATAATGAATCATAAAGCACATTTTGAATTTACACAAAAACTGTTGACGCTCACTTGGCCTGGTGCCTGATCACGAATCGAAGCAACCAAACGTTTGATGCTTTCACTAACAACTTTCGAATTATCCGCAAGTCTTTGCCAGGTTGACGCATCAGTCGGTGAAAGAGCAAGTTGCTTGGCCGTCCTGTGAAATAAAGTTATGACTTGAGAAGCAATCAACAGTAATAATCTGAATTGCAAAGGCAACTAGTAATTGGAAAAAAAAATCTGATTTTTTTGCCCATCATAAGCGTGATAAATGATAATTTATTGACCAATAATTCTCCGTAGATAGGAAAACGCCTGGGTGGTCTTATAAGTGTAATGTAGCACGTTATAAGTCTGCTTAAAACTGCCAAAGGATGAAATGTTAGCCGTATTTTCACATGATGCGATCAATAACGTTTTCATTGATCTGCTACCTATACCTTTTTAGGCAGCCAACAACAAAAAATAAAAAAAAAAGCCATAATAAAAAATGCATTAAAAATGACAGTTGTAATAAAAGAGGGCAAAAATAATAGTAAAAAAAATATACGGCAAACCAAATCAAATCAACCCCCCCCCCCTCCTCCATCCTCACACAATACACCTCCTACGACAGATGGAAGTATTCGAAAGTATTTTAAATTGGGAACAATATCCCATCGCAAAAGTGCCAGCAGCTCGATAATTCCGGGGGTTGCTCACAAACAAAATAATGGCGATTTTGTCGCCCTGATATACGCTGGCACCAACTTATCACCAAAAAAGATAAACTGATCGCAAGAAAACTAGCTGTCCCAGTCGCAAAATCGAATTATCAACCTTTGGAATGTGGGTAGTACTACCTACCACTCTTAATTTTGGGCTGGTAAAGCAGAACAACATATGCAGCTGGAAATCATTTAACTTAAATTTCTCATTTTATTCAAAGTAATTTAAATTTAATTTAATTATTATCAATAGTTATCGAAAGTTAAACTCTTGGACCGCAAAAAAGCACGCTACACCCGCTTATCAAGATTACTTACACGCTTTTTTTTGTCATGACTCGCCACTGAT